TTCTCTTGTTTTGCAATAATGTGAGATTGCTGTGTGTAAGCACTTCAAAGCCAATTTGATGTTCAGCTCTGATACTAAATGGTCCCACAACATTGAATTAAGATAAAAAGGTCACTGCTTTGCGCTTGGAGACGCTTTAGCGAGCCTCCTGGCTTCTGCTGGCATTAAAATCCCATCAGAGTTACAGTAATGGCCGACCCCCCCCCCCCTCTCACACCCCATCTTCCAGTGCTTTCTTATTGGAAGGGCACGTTCCTCTTTCGGGCACTTGCCAAAATAAAAGCTGTGGTCCAAAAATAGACGCAGCCACGAGCACTTGGAGGGAATTGAAAAAAAATTGAATCATATTTGACCTTTTTTATTTATTTTTTATTTTTTCCCTTGCTAAGATGGGACCCCCAGCCAATGACACAGATTTACATACTGTCCTAAACACCAGCATGACATTGGTCCATATGTAAAACACACAAATGTGGAGGATTCTTAACAACTTTTAGTGTCCTTAGCATCTTCTGATGCATTAACAATCAGATTCTTAATGGGAAAAGAAGACTGTTTCCTGTTTTCAGATTCAGAAGCTACAGTGGGGGAAATAACTATTTGACCCCTTGTTGATTTTGCAGGTTTGCCCACTAACAAAGAATGCAACGATCTATAACTTTAATCATATGTACATTCTAACAGTGAAAGACAGAATCCCAAAGAAAATTCCAGAAAATCACATCATATGAGTTTATAAAAATTGATAATAACCATCTGATGAGGAAAAATAAGCATTCTTTGTAAGTGGGCAAACCTGCAAAATCAGAGCAAGGGGTCAAATACTTATTTCCCCCACTGTATGTATTTTCGGGAGCCGTGAGAACAGCTCAGCTTTGATCTTTTCATTTCACAAATGTACAGGGGGTAAGAGGATAGTTACCAATCCTCCTTTTTTTAGTTTTGGACAGTTGTAAAACGTGAGAGGCGAGATGAGGGGAGATGGGAACCGGGGCGGATTAAACGGGAGCACTGTGATGCGTGACAGGAGGTGGCAGATGAGCTGCAGAAAACACGCCAGAAGCAGAAGTTTAAGACTCTCTGGAGCCCCG